TAATTTCATTCTTTGACATGTAGCTGACCAGTTTTCCCAGCACCCCGTATTGAAGAGACTGTCTTTTCTCCATTGTATATCCTTGACTCCTTTGTCATAGATTAGTTGAACTTTATTGATTTCTGCCCTAATGTTTATTATTTCTTTTCTTCTGCTTACTTTGGATTTAATTTGCTTTTCTTTTTCTAGTTTCCTAAGGTGGAAATGTAGATTACTGATTTTAGATCTTCCTTCTTTTCCAACATATTGCATAGCAAAGGGATGGGGAGCATAAGAAGTATATTTAATGAGGATGCAGACAATCTGAATAAACCGTGCTGACTTCCTAATTCTGCCTTATTCCCTAATCCTCTTATTTCTCTCATATTTGGTGTTTAAAATTCGTTCACCCACTGCCAAGGACATCCATGAAAGAGAAAGAACCTTTTTCAGTATGGCTTAAGATTAGCTTTTTTTAATAATTTTTTTTAAATTTTAACTTCTGGAGAGAAAGTGGGGGTGATTGTGTAAACCACTACAAATCCTTTTGGCAGTACTAGGGTGTAAATTATAAATAATAAACATAATGTGGGCTTTCCTGGTGGCGCAATGGTTGAGAGTCCGCCTGCCGATGCAAGGGACATGGGTTTGTGCCCCGGTCCGGGAAGATCCCACATGCCACGGAGCGGCTGGCCCATGGCCGCTGAGCCTGTGCTCCGCAATGGGAGAGGCCACAACAGTGAGAGGCCTGCGTACCACAAAAAAAAAAAAAAGAAACATAACATGCAGCAAATCGGGCCTCACACCCAGCCCTGCCTCTAGTCTTATCCTTTTCCTCTAAGACAACTTGCCCAAGCCTGGCCCACTTACCACCTCCCTAGGGAGAGAAGTGCTGGGGGGATTCAGTGCTGCTTGAAATAGCACAGGATGCTGGAAGCAAGAGCCATGGGTGGGGGGCAGGGGGGAGGGCAGGAGCTGTATGAAGCCTGTGTGGGTTATTTATATGGTCTCAAAAGGAAGCATCCATGGAAATGTTCCTATTGATATTTTTAGACCTGACGCTTGGTCCTGCTGCTGCACTTTCATTTTTAAACAAGCAGAGAAGGGAGTGATTGATGCTGTCTGCAGTGCTGTTTCGGAGGCTTGGAGGGCCCATCTGACAGGCTAATGGTCATCCTGCCAGGCCCTGATCCACCTTCTGTCCCTTCTAGCTCTGGGACCTCAGAAGCTGCTGACCTCAGCAGGCAGCGAATAATACGCTGGCCGCTTGCTGCCAGGTCAGAAACTCTGAAGTTTACCCCCTGGCTCTGCAGCCCTGTGTGCTCGACCCCCACAGGTTTAGCATCCTCTACTTCCATACGCTGTTTCTCTGTGAATGCATATATATGTTTGCATAATAAGCCTTTGGCCGGAAATAAAATGGTTTCGAATTTAACGAGGTGATTAAGCAGGTTAGAAACTCACAACCACACAATAATCCATGAACTTAACTATTCCAGGGTCACTGAAGGGAGTTGAGTATTGTTACCGACTGATTTCTGTGGTTACTTTCATTTGCCCACTCCAAATCAGTGTTCTAAAAAAATGATTTTTAATTATTTTAATTTAAAAAAATGTATTCCCAAGGATACTGAATCCTGTGGCTTTCTCCTCAAGAAGAGAGAAGAAAGTTGGCATTGGGGTTTTTTGCTCTGCAGGTATGGTTTCTCCTAAGTTCATGGATCAGAGTCCACTCCAGTTGAAGGATCAGTTCAGGAAAGTGAGAAGCTGGAGAGTGTTCAGGGAAGGGAAAGACAGTTCTTAAATTCTCATGGCTGAGCAATGCATTGTTTGTTCCTGGGAGTCAGACTATGACAAGGTGGGGTTCTCTTACAAACCTAAAAATTACATGGATGAAGCAGCTGAGATGACCCAAGAAAACTCCTAATGAGATCCGGAACTTCTCTCCTTGCTTTGTGGCCTGCAGATGTTATTGTCTTTTTTGTTCATTTTCTCTCTCTCTCTTTCTACAACAGACCACAGAGACGGGTGAAGACGAGGAGGACCAGCCTCTCAGCCTGGCCTGGCCTTCCGATACCCACAAGCAAGTCACGTTCCTGATTGTTTTCCCCATAGTGTTTCCTCTCTGGATTACCTTACCTGATGTTCGCAAACCTGTGAGTAAGGCTTTTTTTTTTTTTTTTGAAATGAATTTCTTGTAAAAAGCGCAGCATATAGCAGTATGCACAGCCTGCTTCTACTTGTCTTAAAAGGAAAAGGGGGTGACGTATACACATGTATATGCATATATATGTGCCTGAAATTTCTCTGGACAAATACACAATAATAGTGATGGTTCTGGCTGTTGAAACTACGTAATGAACGGCCCCAAAACTTAGTGGTAATGAAATGACAACCATTTTATTCTGCTCGTGGATCCTGTGGACACGTTGGGGATGGCTGGTCTCTGCTCCACAGTGTTTGGGGCCTCAGCTGGGAAGACTCAAGTGGCTGGGGGCTGGAATCATCTGGAGATGTCCTGGCTCACGTTTCTGGCACCTGGGCAGAGATGATTCAAATTCTGGGCTCAGCTGGGACTGTCTACTGGAGAGCCTAACGTGGCCTCTCTACGTGACTAGGGTTTTCTCACGGTATGGAGGCGTCAGGATAGTCAGATGTCTTACATAAGAGATCAGGACTCCAAGAGTGAGTGTTCTAGCAACACAAGGAGAAGCTGCATTGTCTCTGATGGCCTAGTCTCAGCAGTCACAGAGTCACCTCCACTGAACCCTACTACTCAAAGCAGTCGTAAGTCTGTCTTGATTAAAGGGGAGGAGATAAGAAGTCTCCCTAGAATATATCAGTGTCCTATAGCATATGACACCCTCGATGGTAGCAGTTTCAGAGAACTTGCGACCGTGGTTTAAAACCACTACAGTGATTGTCTTTGCAAAGGGGAACTGAAGGTCTGAGGCAGAAGGGTGACTCACATTTTGTTGAATGTTTGTGTACACGAATTATTCGTTCGATTCAAAAAATAACTTACAGAAATGCATTCGTCTGGTGTAAATGCCTGTATGTCTGATCTGCTCCCACCGGTATTATTATCATTACCATAATCAATATTATTATCTGCTGCTATTATGTACTGGATGCTGTGAACACAATACCATCTTATAATCAGCAAAGTACAATCTGAATGTATATCAAATCAAAAGAACATCCTTTCCCAGTAGCGTCAAACTGGGTTCCTGGGCCACTGTCCCAAAGGGTGAAAGAACTAATGAGAGATAAGGAGAAACAGCTCTACTTTTTATTATGGCCCTATACACACACGTACTCATTCAACAAACGTGTGTACCTACTATGTATCATGCTCTATCCTTGGTATACTCCATAAATTCTATTGTAAATCTCAGAAAACATCTAGTATGGGCATATACATATATATATATATATATATATATATATGCCTGCACTATATATATATATATAAAATTATATATATATATACACACACATACATATAATTGGCATAAGTAGAAAGAAACTTAGGCAAAAAGAGTTAACTAGCTCAAGCCTGGTCACTTCCTAGGTCATAGAGCTGAGATTCAGATCCAGGCCCGTGTGACCACACAGCTTGGGCTCTTCCTCATATTTCTTTTTTTTTGGTGGTGGTACGTGAGCCTCTCACTGTTGTGGCCTCTCCCGTTGCGGAGCACAGGCTCCGGACGTGCAGGCTCAGTGGCCATGGCTCACGGGCCCAGCCGCTCCGCGGCATGTGGGATCTTCCCGGACCGGGGCACGAACCCGTGTCCCCTGCATCGGCAGGCGGACTCTCAACCACTGCACCACCAGGGAAGCCCCTCTTCCTCATATTTCTTGATGCCAGAAGGTAGAAATCTGAAAACATTATTTCTAAAAGCATTTGGAATAGAATACTGTGGTAACATCCAGCATAATGTAGCATCCCTCTTCAAGAGCCCTGTGATGATCACACCTTCCTCCCTTGAAAAAGACTGGAGAAAAATCCTGTCTCGTTACCCTGACCTAGAAATAATCCAGCCTGATAGAGAGCCTTGTCTTGTCAAGTACAGGCCAGGAATGACCCCTCATTTAAGGACTCCTGACATTAGACGATTCCTAGGAAAGGGTGAGTGTAGCAGATGTGGCTCACTTAAGGTGCTATCCAGGTTTCTTTGTTCAAGATGCTGTTACAGAGCATCTGCTGTATGCAAAGGCCTGGCTTCCTGGAAACCTGCAGCCAAATAGCTGGAATGCGTTCAGTTTCTTCTTGGCTCCCATCACATTAACATTTCTGAGATGTGTGTGCTCACATGCACTCACTCACTCATTCTCTCTGTCTCTCTCTCTTTCTGTCGCCATTGCTCTGCTGTTTAGTCCGATACTTTTGCTTAACTCAGGGAGGAAAATGAGGGAGACAGACAGGGTTTTCTAAATCCCCACAGCAGGCCTAGAGTGATATGGCCCAGAGTAGTGGGGTCTGGTTCACTGATAAGACTGACTGATATTATCAAATAGATAACTAACAAGGACCTGCTGTATAGCACAGGGAACTATACTCAATATCTTGTAATAACCTATAAGGGAAGAGAATCTGAAGAAGAATACATATAATATATATTGGTTTGGCCAAAAATTTCGTTCGATTAGTGAATACATTGTTCAATAAAATTCTTGGTGAAAATGAAAAATGTGTCTTTTATTTTCACTTAAAGCTGAACGAACTTTTTGACTAACCCAATATATAACAGAATTGCTGTACTGTACACCTGAAACTAACACAATATTATAAATCAACTATACCTCAATTTTAAAATGTTAATAATAATTTTAAAAATAAATTTTTAGGCCTTCCCTGGTGGTGTAGTGGTTGAGAGTCCGTCTGCCGATGCAAGGGATACGGGTTTGTGCCCTGGTCCGGGAAGATCCCACATGCCGCGGAGCGGCTGGGCCCGTGAGCCATGGCCGCTGAGCCTGCGCGTCCAGAGCCTGTGCTCCGCAAACGGGAGAGGCCACAGCAGTGAGAGGCCTGCGTACCGCAAAATAAATAAATAAATAAATTTTTAACAAATGAGTGATTGATGTCAGCACAGAACTGCTGAAGCCATCAGGAAGATGTGCAGGAATGGGAGGAAGCTGCCTATGACTCAAGGCCCTAGAATCACAGGGTTGCATGGGACTCTTAGAGCAAAGGCTGGCAAAGTGTTCGTCCCCTCCGTGATCTGATCTGATAGGTCAAGGAAACTGTTAGGGAAGATCAGAGTTCTCAACCTGTAACTCCTAGACAGCAAACAGGATTCCACCATGGCTGTAGTTACCTGGATCGAAACAGAGGCTGATACTCTTATCCTGAGGGGTTCAAAGCAAGCAAATACAGCTGAACATGATGTCCCCCCTGTAGTACTGCTGACTGGTCATTCGCTGAGCAGCATCTCGTGGGAGCCAGCCCCTGCAGCGTGCGCTGGGGTAGCCAATGGGGCTTTTCCTCACTGCACCCCCAAGGGCCATCCCTGGATGGACTGGATTTTTTTCTGTTTCTTTCTGAGTATACCATGTGCTGTTCCAAGCAGAAATGAGACTCCTAGGTAGAACACTGGGTGTTTCTAGATTTCCTCAGCAAATATTTATTGAGCACCTATTATATGCCAGGCATCAGGCTTATGCCCTAAAAAAGATATAAAGACACATCAGTCACAATTCCCATTTTTAAGATGCTCTAAACTCAGTAGAGGAAACAAAGCATGACCACATAGAACTACAGAGCAAGATTGCACAGCTGTACTAGTGAGAGCAGCTAGACTCGAACCCAAGTCTCCTGACTCTGGAGCGTTCTCATGCTACCATTTACTACAGTGGCTTTTCCCACACGATTCATGAGCTGTGCAATCATGGGAAAGTTACTTCTCAACTCTGGACCCCATATTTCCTCCTCTGTGAAATACAGGAGTGGAGGAAGCTCTCTAGATTCCCTGCCAGCGGTGACATTCTGTGATTCAGGAAAGCATAAAGAGATAACTATCAGTACAATATTGCTAATTTAAGGTGACCATATATCCCCGTTTGCCTGAGCTAGTCCGAGTTTACTCTCAAAGCATGCCGGTTTGAGTTATATGGTCATTCTTTGCGTACATGAAATGCCGAACGAAAGCATGCCGATTGATACAAAGGCCAGTAGGTGGCTTCTTACTCATGCTCAGCTCAGGAGAGTTTCATTAGGCTTGATCTTGTGTCAGTTAGCTCTTGCTGTGTAACACACCACCCCAAAACTTAGTGGCTTAAAACAACAAGCATTTTTTTGGCCCATAATTCTATGAGTTGGTGATTTAGGTGGGGCTCAGCCTGACAGTTCTGCTACTTACTTATACGGCTGAGGGCTGGTTGGTGTAGGCGTGTGTCAGCTGGAACACCTTGTCTCTGTTCCACTGGTCTTGTATCCTTAAGCAGGCTAGCCTGGGCTTATTCACATGATGGAGTAGTGAATGTAGTGAAAATGAAAGAGTAGTGAAAGTGAAAGCCGCAAAGCCACAAAGATCTAGTTCAGAATCTGCACACTGTCATTTCCACCACATTCTATTAGTCAATTCAAGGCATAAGGCCAGCCCAGATTCAGAGGCTTGGGGAATAGACCTCATCTCTTCATGGGAGGAATTGCAAAGTGATGCGGTCATTTTTGCAGTCTGCCGTGGTCCTCATGTCCTGCCACAAGGGCCTCTTGAAAAATTATCTAGGGAGAGGAGAGACAGAAGAGAAAACTATCAATTAATAGACACTTGCTACTCCTCAGAGCCTGGCAGCTCTGCCTCCTGAGTAGTTTTTGAATTACCCACGGAGATGAGCATCCCAAACCTTGACAATAATTTCAATGAAAACACGATTTTTTTTAACATCTTTATTGGGGTATAATTGCTTTACAATGATGTGTTAGTTTCTGCTTTATAACAAAGTGAATCAGTTATACATATACATATGTTCCCATATCTCTTCCCTCCTGCATCTCCCTCCCTCCCACCCTCCCTATCCCACCCCTCCAGGCGGTCACAAAGCACCGAGCTGATATCCCTGTGCTATGTGGCTGCTTCCCACTAGCTATCTACCTTACGTTTGGTAGTGTATATATGTCCATGCCTCTCTCTCGCTTTGTCACAGCTCACCCTTCCCCCTCCCCATATCCTCAAGTCCATTCTCCAGTAGGTCTGTGTCTTTATTCCTCTCTTACCCCTAGGTTCTTCATGACATTTTCTTTTTCTTAAATTCCATATATATGTGTTAGCATACGGTATTTGTCTTTCTCTTTCTGACGTACTTCACTCTGTATGACAGACTCTAGGTCTATCCACCTCATTACAAATAGCTAAATTTCATTTCATTTTATGGCTAAGTAATATTCCATTGTATATATGTGCCACACCTTCTTTATCCATTCATCCAATGATGGGCACTTAGGTTGTTTCCATCTCCGGGCTATTGTAAATAGAGCTGCAATGAACATTTTGGTACATGACTCTTTTTGAATTATGGTTTTCTCAGGGGATATGCCCAGTAGTGGGATTGCTGGGTCATATGGTAGTTTGTAGTTTTTTAAGGAACCTCCGTACTGTTCTCCATAGTGGCTGAACCAATTCACATTCCCACCAGCAGTGTAAGAGTGTTCCCTTTTCTCTACACCCTCTCCAGCATATATTGTTTCTAGATTGTTTGATGATGGCCATTTTGACTGGTGTGAGATGATACCTCATTGTAGTTTTGATTTGCATTTCTCTAATGATTAATGATGTTGAGCATTCTTTCATGTGCTTGTTGGCAGTCTGTATATCTTCTTTGGAGAAATGTCTATTTAGATCTTCTGCCCATTTTTTGATTGGGTTGTTTGTTTTTTTGTTATTGAGCTGCTTGTAAATTTTGGAAATTAATCCTTTGTCAGTTGCTTCATTTGCAACTATTTTCTCCCATTCTGAGGGTTGTCTTTTGGTCTTGTTTATGGTTTCCTTTGCTGTGCAAAAGCTTTGAAGTTTCATTAGGTCCCATTTGTTTATTTTTGTTTTTATTTCCATTTCTCTAGGAGGTGGGTCAGAAAGGATCTTGCTGTGATTTATGTCATAGAGTGTTCTGCCTATGTTTTCCTCTAAGAGTTTGATAGTTTCTGGCCTTACATTTTGGTCTTTAATCCATTTTGAGCTTATTTTTGTGTATGGTGTTAGGGAGTGATCTAATCTCATACTTTTACATGTACCTGTCCAGTTTTCTCAGCACCACTTATTGAAGAGGCTCTCCTTTCTCCACTGTACATTCCTGCCTCCTTTATCAAAGATAAGGTGACCATATGTGTGTGGGTTTATCTCTGGGCTTTCTATCCTGTTCCATTGATCTATATTTCTGTTTTTGTGCCAGTACCATACTATCTTGATTACTGTAGCTTTGTAGTATAGTCTGAAGTCAGGGAGTCTGATTCCTCCAGCTCCGTTTTACGTTCTCAAGATTGCTTTGGATATTCGGGGTCTTTTGTGTTTCCATAAAAATTGTGAAATTTTTTGTTCTAGTTCTGTGAAAAATGCCAGTGGTAGTTTGATAGGGATTGCATTGAATCTGTAGATTGCTTTGGATAGTAGAGTCATTTTCACAATGTTGATTCTTCTAATCCAAGAACATGGTATATCTCTCCATCTATTTGTATCATCTTTAATTTCTTTCATCAGTGTCTTATAATTTTCTGCATACAGGTCTTTTGTCTCCTTAGGTAGGTTTATTCCTAGATATTTTATTCTTTTTGTTGCAATGGTAAATGGGAGTGTTTTCTTTGATTTCACTTTCAGATTTTTCATCATTAGTGTATAGGAATGCCAGAGATTTCTGTGCATTAATTTTGTATCCTGCTACTTTACCAAATTCATTGATTAGCTCTAGTAGTTTTCTGGTAGCATCTTTAGGATTCTCTATGTATAGTATCATGTCATCTGCAAACAGTGACAGCTTTACTTCTTCTTTTCCAATTTGGATTCCTTTTATTTCCTTTTCTTCTCTGATTGCTGTGGCTAAAACTTCCAAAACTATATTGAATAAGAGTGGTGAGAGTGGGCAACCTTGTCTTGTTCCTGATCTTAGTGGAAATGGTTTCAGTTTTTCACCATTGAGGACAATGTTGGCTGTGGGTTTGTCATATATGGCCTTTATTATGTTGAGGAAAGTTCCCTCTATGCCTACTCTCTGCAGGGTTTTTATCATAAATGGGTGTTGAATTTTGTCAAAAGCTTTCTCTGCATCTATTGAGATGATCATATGGTTTTTCTCCTTCAATTTGTTAATATGGTGTATCACATTGATAGATTTGCGTATATTGAAGAATCCTTGCATTCCTGGAATAAACCCCACTTGATCATGGTGTATGATCCTTTTAATGTGCTGTTGGATTCTGTTTGCTAGTATTTTGTTGAGGATTTTTGCATCTATGTTCATCAGTGATATTGGCCTGTAGTTTTTGTTCTCTGTGACATCCTTGTCTGGTTTTGGTATCAAGGTGATGGTGGCCTCGTAGAATGAATTTGGGAGTGTTCCTCCCTCTGCTATATTTTGGAAGACTTTGAGAAGGATAAGTGTTAGCTCTTCTCTAACTGTTTGATAGAATTTGCCTTGTGAAGCCATCTGGTCCTGGGCTTTTGTTTGTTGGAAGATTTTTAATCACAGTTTCAATTTCAGTGCTTGTGATTGGTCTGTTCATATTTTCTATTTCTTCCTGATTAAGTCTTGGCAGGTTGTGCATTTCTAAGAATTTGTCCATTTCTTCCAGGTTGTCCATTTTATTGTCATAGTGTTGCTTGTAGTAATCTCTCATGAGCTTTTGTATTTCTGCAGTGTCAGTTGTTACTTCTCCTTTTTCATTTCTAATTCTATTGATTTGAGTCTTCTCCCTTTTTTTCTTGATGAGTCTGGCTAATGGTTTATCTATTTTGTTTATCTTCTCAAAGAACCAGCTTGTAGTTTTATTGATCTTTGCTATTGTTTCCTTCATGTCTTTTTCATTTATTTCTGATCTGATTTTTATGATTTCTTTCCTTCTGCTAACTTTGGGGTTTTTTCTTCTTCTTTCTCTAATTGCTTTAGGTGCAAGGTTAGGTTGTTTATTCAAGACGTTTCCTGTTTCTTAAGGTGGGCTTGTATTGCTATAAACTTCCCTCTTAGAACTGCTTTTGCTGCATCCCATAGGTTTTGGGTCATCGTGTCTCCATTGTCATTTGTTTCTAGGTATTTTTTGATTTCCTCTTTGATTTCTTCAGTGATCACTTCGTTATTAAGTAGTGTATTGTTTAGCCTCCATGTGTTTGTATTTTTTACAGATCTTCTCCTGTAATTGATATCTAGTCTCATGGCGTTGTGGTTGGAAAAGATACTTGATACAATTTCAATTTTCTTAAATTTACCAAGGCTTGATTTGTGACCCAAGATATGATCTATCCTGGAGAATGTTCCATGAGCACTTGAGAAAAATGTGTATTCTGTTGTTTTTGGATGGAGTGGCCTATACATATCAATTAAGTCCATCTTGTTTAATGTATCATTTAAAGCTTGTGTTTCCTTATTTATTTTCATTTTGGATGATCTGTCCATTGGTGAAAGTACTGTGTTTGGGGTCTCCTTTTCACAGGCTGCAGGTTTGTAGTTCCCATTGTTTTTGGTGTCTGTCCCCAGTGGCTGAGGTTGGTTCAGTGGGTTGTGTAGGCTTCCTGGTGGAGGGGACTAGTGCCTGTGTTCTGGTGGATGAGGCTGGATCTTGTCTCTCTGGTGGGCAGGTCCACATCTGGTGGTGTGTTTTGGGGTGTCTGTGGACTTATTATGATTTTAGGCAGCCTCTCTGCTAATGGGTGGGGTTGTGTTCCTGTCTTGCTAGTTGTTTGGCATAGGATGTCCAGCAGTGTAGCTTGCTGGTGGTTGAGTGAAGCTGGGTGCTGGTGTTGAGATGGAGGATCTCTGGGAGATTTTTGCCATTTGATATTAAGTGGAGCTGGGAGGTCTCTTGTGGACCAGTGTCCTGAAGTTGGCTCTCCCATCTCAGAGACACAGCACTGACTCCTGGCTGCAGCACCAAGAGCCTTTCATCCACACGGCTCAGAATAAAAGGGAGAAAAAGTGGAGAGAAAGAATTCGTAGAAGTAGGAAGAAAGAAAGAAAGAAAGGAGGGAAGGAAGGAAGAAGGAAAGAAAGAAAGGAGGGAGGGAGGGAGGGAGGAAGGAAGGAAGGAGGGAAGGAAGGAAAAAGGAAAGAAAGAAAGAAGATACAGTAAAATAAAATAAAGTAAAATATAATAAAGTTATTAAATTAAAAAATATTTAGAAAAAAAAAAGGGACAGATAGAACCTTAGGACAAATGGTGGAAGCAAAGCTATACAGACAAAATCTCACACAGAAGCATACACATACACACTCACAAAAAGAGGAAAAGGGGAAAAAAATCATAGATCTTGCTCTCGAAGCCCACCTCCTCAATTTGGGATGACTCGTTGTCTATTCATGTATTCCCCAGATGCAGGGTACATCAAGTTGATTGTGGAGCTTTAATCCACTGCTTCTGAGGCTGCTGGGAGAGATTTCCCTTTCGCTTCTTTGTTCTCACAGCTCCCAGGGCTCAGCTTTGGATTTGGCCCCGCCTCTGCGTGTAGGTCGCTGGAGGGCGTCTGTTTTTTGCTCAGACAGGACAGGGTTAAAGGAGCCGCTGATTCGGGGGCTCTGGCTCACTCAGGCCGGGGGGAGGGAGGGGCACGGAGTGCGGGGCGAGCCTGCGGCGGCAGAGGCTGGCGTGACGTTGCACCAGCCTGAGGCCCGCCGTGCGTTCTCCCGGGGAAGTTGTCCCTGGATCCCGGGAACCTGGCAGTGGCGGGCTGCACAGGCTCCCCAGACGGAGGGTGTGGATAGTGACCTGTGTTTGCACACAGGCTTCTTGGTGGCAGCAGCAGCAGCCTTAGCGTCTCATGCCCGCCTCTGGGGTCCGTGCTTTCAGCCGCGGCTCGCGCCCGTCTCTGGAGCTCCTTTAAGCAGCGCTTTTAAACCCCTCTCCCCGCGCACCAGGAAACAAAGAGGGAAGAAAAAGTCTCTTGCCTCTTCAGCAGCTCCAGACCTTTTCCCAGACTCCCTCCTGCAGGCTGTGTTCACGCAGCCAACCCCAGTCCTCTCCCTGCGCTCCGACCAAAGCCCGAGCCTCAGCTCGCAGCCCCGCCCGCCCCGGCGGATGAGCAGACAAGCCTCTCGGGCTGGTGAGTGCCGGTCGGCACCGATCCTCTGTGTGGGAATCTTCCCGCTTTGCCCTCCGCACCCCTGTTGCTGTGCTCTCCTCCATGGCTCTAAAGCTCCCCCCTCCGCCTCCCGCAGGCTCTGCCCGCAAAGGGGCTTCCTAGTGTGTGGAAACCTTTCCTCCTTCACAGCTCCCTCCCACTGGTGCAGGTCCCGTCCCTATTCTTTTGTCTCTGTTTTTTCTTTTTTTCTTTTGCCCTACCCAGGTACGTAGGGGGTTTCTTGCCTTTTGGGAGGTCTGAGGTCTTCTGCCAGCATTCAGTAGGTGTTCTGTAGGAGTTGCTCCGCGTGTAGATGTATTTCTGGTGTATCTGTGGGGAGGACGGTGATCTCCACATCTTACTCTTCCGCCATCTTCCCCTCCCCGATTTTTTTTTAAGGTATACATCTAGTTTCAGAGTAAATAATACTCCCACTTGCTTTTATTTACACTTCATTTATATGCAAATTATATGACAGTGCTTGTTGAATTATGCATTCTTCCAGCTCAGATAATTAAAGGTGGGCTTCACTTTTATAGTTTTTTTAAATTAATGGCTTTTAGAAGTACAAGAACTGAAATGCAAACCTTAATGAGGAATATGTCTTTGATGAAAATTGAAAATAATAAAGGAAGCAAAGACCCCAAAAGTTTTATTTTCTCATGGCCTAGGATGGATGTTCTTACAAAACAAGAATGCATCTCATGAGATATCAAAATATGACCCATCAGAGCTAGGAAGGTGCTTCAGAACCCAGCTAGGTTTTTGCAATTTCTGTCATGCATTGGTTCATTCACCAAGTATTTATTGTGTCTACTATGTACCAAGCACGGTTCTAGCAAGGATGGAGTGATTGAGGCCCTGAGAAGTTGAGTGACTTGTCCAAGCAAAACCAGCTAATAAGAAGCAAAGCCAAGACTCTAGGCCATATCTCTGCAGTCACTTTCACCTCCCTGAGTTTGTTTTCTTAACTCTTAAAAATCAAAATGAGCTTAATATTGTCTAATAACATCTGCCATTACTATCCAAGCACTTGTTCTGTGCCAGGCAGTTTGCTAGACACTTCATGTGTGTGGAAATCCTCAGAACTACTAGACATTGTTATTCCTCCCATTTTACAGAGAAAGTAACTGAGATTTAGAGCGATTAAATAATTTGTCTCAGGGCACAGAGCTGGTAATTGATGAGCAAGGATTTCAGTACTGGTCATAGTAATCCAGAGACCATACTTTTAATCTTTAACAGGATTGCTTTGGAGAACTCTGTTAAATATGTATGCCCCAGAACCTTGCACAGAGGAGATGCTTAGTGAATATTTGTCGAATTTAAATAAGTTAGGAGATAGCCAATTTGTGCGACCAGCTAATGTCCAGTAATGTTTTTTAAGCCAAGAAAATATCACTCTGATGTACTAAAAACTTCTAATGAGAATATTAGCTGTCAATTATACAAGTAAACCATTACATTGGAACCAAATGGACACATGTGCCAGCCAACACATGGATACAATTTGCTTTTTTGCTAATTGGTATGAGGTCCATCCCAGCAGATGTCAGGATGAACCGCCATTACTAACCATAAATTGACACATCAGACCTTGGCTTCAGGAGCTCTTTTCTTCCTTCCAATGAGACTGGTAACTAAATAAGAGTACACGTGCTACTGGGCAGTGATAACTGGAATGAGACCACAGAGTCCAAAGAAGGGAAATAGTCCAGAAAAAAACGAAAGAAGGAATTACCTGGGCTGTGAGATTGGAAATGGTAAGGTACTTTGACAGTCGGGGAAACACTTAACCAAACTGTTGATGCATGAAAGGTTGATGCTTCCAAAGCAGGAACAATATGGGAGGCTGGGTGAGGCAGACGGTTGTACAGCTGGAATGCTAGTCTGTATTTCCCTGAGGCTCTTTATTTGCTGACATTCAGAGCATAGGCTAGTATTATGATGATGATGATCATTATGTGTCCAAAGTCGGGTATATTTTGAGCATTATCGGCCCTGTCTTTCTTTAGGAATGAGTATAACCTAGATTCCTAACATCTAGGAATGCGTGCTTATATAGTCAGAGAGACCTAGATTTGAATTTCATGTCTAGTTCAAGATCTGGGTACAGCGTAAGTGCCCAGCCTTTACCTACCCCTAGTTAATGATGAAGACCTGAAATTCTACAAAGAAAAGATATTTTTAAACCTTTTTTTCAATGCGTTCCTAATCCAATACTAGGTACCTTTAGATGTCCACTAATGACTAATTGGCTTCTTGATTAAGACTCATAAGCATCAAATTTTGAAACACAGAGGTTTTCAATAATATGTTGGTGTAAACTTAGCACCTTTAAATCCTTAGTCCGATTCCTTACTTTCTGCCTTTTGACTGGGAATGGTCTATGGTTCAGGGATGATATTTTTTAGATGAGAAATATGTTCAAATAATTTGATTCTGACTTGTGATGCTGTATCAATGAACAGACATGCAAAGGTACAAAAAAATTAAACAATAATAAAATAATAGTTACATACTTAGTAAATGAGCTAACCTGGAAAGGGGCCATACCTATGAAATGAGGACTCTCCCAGGATATCCAGTCCACGTGCCATGTCATAAAGTGTGGAGATGGTACTCTGTTCCCTCCCAGGATGCTCAAAGTCAAGCTAAGGATTGGCTACTGCTCACACCACATGGGTGGTCCCACATCACAAGAGGGGGCCCTTCTCTTCCCTGTGATAGAGCATGGCGTGGGAGATGAAGCCCTCATCACACCTAGGATCCTGAAACAGTGACTTGCGGCCAGAGGAAAAGAATAGGGACTCTGATCAGCTGAATGCCTTGCCTGGGAAAAATTGATTTCTTGGCACTGGCAATTCCAAGGCTCAGGGAATCTGGTCTCCAGAATCCAGCTGAACCCCTTGCTTTACAGGAATTTGCTTTCGAAGTGAATGTCTCAAGCTCCACTTTGAAAATTTGATGACTTTTTTCCCATAACCCATTAAATAGTGCTTAGGTCCCCAGAAGGAGTCTGAGTCTTTGGCTGAAATATTTTCCTTCGAAGAAAGGGAAGGAGTAGGGGGAAGCATTTAAGAATAAGGTTGTGGCTACTCACCGTGGTTAATGCTTTCCCCAATTTAATCAAGCCCACTGGTCTTCCAGACATCCCAGCTAACAAAAGGCCCAAGAAAAACCACAACCATTGAAAGAAAGAAATGGTTATTGTGAAATTTAATAGAACCATGTGAATGATAATGAAAACATATATTAAAAACTTGAAATTAATAGAGAGAACATAAGCCTGTTTGAGGCAATAGACTGTGTTCATCGTTAAAGATATTCAAAAGATTACCATATACAGGTTTACCTTTTCCTTTTAATGAAGCTCTCAAAAGCCATGGCAGAAGTGTTCTATGTGACTGCCCAAGGTCAGCTCTTCAGACAAGTGAGATAGCTTTCATCCAGGTCAACTCCAGGATTCATTTCTCTGGACAAAATTGGATGGCGTTATCAAAGCAAAAAATGAGACTGTTTCTCAAAGTGGAAAGCTTTGAAAGAAAAAGTGTTTGGCAATGATAAATGAGAGACTCTCTGAGAGCATCCTGTTATCTGAGCATGTTTTAAAGGATCCCAGTTTTACAAAAAGGGCATCAACAGGACACCACTACCATCCAGTGCAAGCGTGGGTTTCCCTATAGTGGGATGGATAAGAAACACTGCATTTTGAGTGTCTGATTTTGGCTGATGTTTGAAAGAAACTTTAAAAGTGCTCATACTATAAGCCTGAGATTGCACAAAGCCCAGGGCTAGAAGCATAATTGGATAGAACATAGTTAGGGGTGGAGAACAGGAGAGAAAGCATTCCCGAGAACGTCTACTGTGCCACCCCCGTGGAGAGCAGCACAAGCGAGCATCTGCTGTTGATACTTGTGTGGCTCCAACGTCCTGGAGACTGGCCATCCTCAGGAATCTGTATTAATTGTGGTGATGGCTCCTTCTGTGTGGCTTTTCCTCGTAATTCAGGGGACCGTAAAAAGAGCCAATGTATTTTGGAAACTATTGATCCTTCTTGTTAAATGTAATTAATCCCGTAGGCTTTCTGGCATATGGATTATTAGGATACATGGGTTGAAGCAATAGAAACTGATTCTCATGAAATTGAAGAGAAGGTAGAAAAGGGAGCAGGAGAGGGAGAGAGAATGTGGGGAATTGAGGGATTGAAGGCAAGACTGAGAAACCAAGCCTTGGAAAGGGCAGGAGCAGAGAGCCTCTGAGAAACCAGCAACAGAACAGACATTCTCTTCAAAAGACTTCCATCTCAGAAACTAGCTTTGGGATGGTTTGGCTTCCACCAATTTCACATCCTCAAGAGAGAATCTTAACGTCCCAGCTTGACCAACGCTTGGTCATTTATTTTGATTGCTAATTCTACCAGGACTGCGGGCAGTGAGGGAGAAGTAGCTGAATTGGTGGTCTTGGCTTTGAGCTATCAGATCACCTCAGTTAGCACTCACATTCTCTCCTCTTTCTGGTTCTCTTTCAGTCATCAAGGAAGTTTTTTCCCATCACGTTCTTCGGCTCCATCACCTGGATCGCAGTATTCTCTTACTTGATGGTCTGGTGGGCACATCAGGTAATGCCTTGAGAGTGACACACATCTGCCTGGATTTTCTCTTGGTTGCTAAGTGGCTAACCAGTGTGTTTGCTTTCTGAAACTGTCACAACAGTATTGCATCTAACAAATTACATATTCCAGGACTAAAGGAATTTATTCCACTTAACTTTCCCTCGTCTCCTGGCCCTTCCCTATAGTGTGGACTCAAATCGGCACAGCCCCAGACAGCCATGTGGAGGAAAGGCAAGTCTCACTGTTTCTTGCCCTCTACAGCCTGAAGCCAGGCCAACCCAGGCCTGGAGGAATGTCAGAGTTTTTCCTGGCTCAGCAGCACTTACTCTCTCTTGGGCAGCCACTCACCTCATGTTCTCATCCAACTGGCTCTTAGGGAAAGAACTGGAGACAAAATGGTCTCTTCCTTGAGCCTCCATTTACAAAAATGATGATGTATTTCCCTTTTACTACTTTTAATTCAATACCAGTCATAATGCCCATCACCAGAATAAACTCTCAGGAATTGTTCGTTGCAACACATGAATGGAGGAAAGCGATGCAAAGGTCTTACATTCTCAAAGATAGTAACGGTTACCATTATTGATTGAATGTATACTACATGCCAGGTAATTCACATCCCTTTGTCTTTGTACATGGGTATAATTTCTATGAGGGAGGTACTATTATTATCCACAGTTTACAGATAAAGAGTTAAGCTTAGAGCTAATTAAAAAAAAAATGCCCAGGATCATTTAGGTAGTAAAAAGCAGGACTGAGATTCTAACCCAGCACTCTGCAGCTCCAAAACTCATGCTTTTAATCTCTATTATAAACTACATAAATTCCAACTGCCCACTTGTATTCTTTGTCTAATATACCCTTAAAATTATTATACTTAACAGAAATAAAATATAGCAATTTGAAATAAGGAAATATACACCAAGGACATATGTGGATAGACTTCTCAACAAATGTTGCTGGAATAACTGGATTTCTCTATGCCAAAATAAATGAACTTAGACATTTACCACCTGCGATACTCAAAACTTAACTCAAAAAAAACAAAAAACAAAAAAAACTTAACTCAAAATGCACGATAGTTCTAAACGTAAGAGCTAAAAACATCTAGAAGAAAACAGAAAATCCCCATAACCATGGGATAGGCAAAGAGTTCTATGATATAACACCAAACCATGATCCATTAAAAAAAAAAAATGATTAACTAAATGTCATCAAAAGTAAAACTTCTGCTCTTCAGAAAACCTCATTTAAAAAATGGAAAGACAGGCAATTCCCTGCCTGTCCAGTGGTTAGAACTCTGCGCTCTCACTGCCGAGGGCCCAGGTTCAGTCCCTGGTTGGGGAACTGAGATCCCATAAGCCACGTGGCACAGCCAAAAAAAAACCCAAAAAATTGGAAAGACAGACCACAGACTGAGAGAAAATATTTTCAAATCATATCTCTCTGATAAAGCACTTGTATCCAGGATATATAAAAAGCTCTTAAAGCTCAATAATAGAGAAGGCAAGCGTCTACAGGCATCTTAATGTTTAAGATGGACAAAAGATTTGGGTAGATATTTCACCAAGAAAGGTATGCAAATGGCTAATAAGCACAAGAAAAGATATTCAACATCGTTATTCATTAGAGAATGCAAATTAAAACCACAGTGAGATACCACTTCACACTCACTTGGATGGACATAATCAAAAAGACAGAAAATAACAAGTGTTAGAGAGGATGTATAGAAATTGGAAACCTGATATATTTCTGGTAAGAATGTAAAACACTGCAGCCACTTTGTAGACAGCTTGGCAGTTCCAGAAAATGTTAAGCATAGAGTTACCATATGATCCAGTGATTCCACTGTCTACATACCCAAGAGAAATGAAAACATCTGCACAATTTATATGCAAATGTTCACAGCAGCATCATTCATAATGGCCAAAAAGTAGAAACAATCCAGGTGTCCATCAACTTGTATGGGTAAATAAAATGTGGTATATCCACACAGTGGAATATTATTCTACAATAAAAATGAATGAAATACTGACACATGCTACAGTGTAAATAAACCTCTAAAATATTATGCTAAGTGAAAACAGCCGGTCACAAGAGATCACATGCTGTATGATTCCATTTATATGAAATGTGAATAACAGGCAAATCTGTAGAGGCAGAAAATAGGTAACAGTTGCCTAGGGTTGGGGGGGTTGGAGGGCAATGGGAAGTGACTGCTAATGGGTATAGAGTTTCTTCTTGGAATGACGAAAAATTGAACTTAAATTCTGGTGATAGTTGCACAACTCTATAAATATACTAAAAAACCGCTGAATCATATACTTTAAATGGGGGACTTTTAGGGTATGTGAATTACATCTCAGTAAAGTTGTTTAAAAATAAACATAAGGGGCTTCCCTGGTGGCGCAGTGATTGGGAGTCCGCCCGCCGATGCAGGGGACACGGGTTCGTGCCCCGGTCCGGGAGGATCCCACATGCCACGGAGCGGCTGGGCCCGTGAGCCATGGCCGCTGAGCCTGCGCGTCCAGAGCCTGTGCTCCGCAGCGGGAGAGGCCACAGCAGTGAGAGGCCCGCGTACCACAATCAATCAATCAATCAATAAAAATAAACATAAGATACCACTTCACAACCATTAGGATGACTACAACCAAAAAGACAGACAATAACCATTTGTTGATTAGGATGTGGAGAAACAGGACTGCATATATTTGTCAAAGCTCACAGAACAGTATGCTCTTTTTAAAGGGTGAATTTTACTGTATGGAAATTACACCTTAATTTTTTCAGAAAGAAGATATGGCATCACTAACAAAATCCACTGGAAATGTTGGCTGATAAACCAAGCATTATTCCTACAAGATATTTTATATTATTCCTATCACAGTTATTTTACTGACATTTGACCTCAGATTACTCTTCCTTAATATTTCCAAAAATCCTCGGCCCCCTGAAGAAGTTCTGTTTGCCCCAAAGTCATTATTTTCTACATTTGTTGAAAGATGTTTGCTACCGATACCCAGCAGAAATCATTGCAGAAGGTAAGCTGCTTCTCAGCCTCCAGATTTCCAGGCTAAAAGGAGTGTTTGTTTGCCATTTATAGATATATAATGGCCTTTCCTAATAATCATTTTTATTCTTCCAAGTACTGATAAAGGGAAAAAAGTTATTTTTTCCACTTATTGGAATATATTGTTTTCTAGATATTTCTCTTTAGTCATCCTAGGAAACATCATCCTACAGGCTTCCATCTCTTTCTCTACTCTTTAATGATTATCTTCATTCCACAATCCTGTTTCCTTTTCATTCCCTTGTAGATAAATACAAACACAATGCCTGGAACAATAATAATTACTAAAAAAAAAGCCCAGAAATATAAAGTGCATAAAGAGAAGCCTTACTAGCAAATAATGAATGAGAAGTTCCTCTTTCTTTTCTCCAAAGAAGTGCTTTTCTCTTTCAAAATATCCAGACAGCTGATCAAAATAGCAGATTCTGTTCTAAGTCTGTAGCTCTAATTCTGTCATTTGTACTTCTAAACTGTAAAAGCTATAAAGATAACAAGTGCACCATTT